GATCATTTTTGTTACACCCATGTATTTACTAAGTTTGTTATAAATAACGCAGTTGTAGAAACCTGCGGAATACTAAACAAATATTATATACGTCAAACGACTTACTGGTCTGACTGTCATGGGGCAGACGCAGACACACGCGCACATTTTCCTGTGCTTTTCTTGTAATTTAGCGGAATATGTTTCTTGCATTATTTGCTCATATGTTTTACTGGGTAAATTCTGATTAAGCAGAGCGACTTCATCTTAGGCTGGCATCTATCCCAGAAAGCACAGGGCACAAGACAGGGGCTATCCTGCATACCATTGCATTGCAGTTCCTTGGTAATACTTTCCCTCATTAATACTGAGATGAGCCTTTGTATCCAATAGCAACTAGAACTGCTAACAACACACGATCACATGAGACGGGAAGTGAATAACAGGCGGAAGTTGGCGTGTAGCGCTTTCTTGGATACTGTTGCCATGGGCTGATTTGGGAAAAAAATACATAGCAGATCATTTGTCCCCATTTCTTCTACGAAAAAAAAATGAAGTAAAAATAATTAGTGGTGCTGTTACATAAAATGACGACGGTTCTGCCTTCGCAGAAGGAGGCTCCGGCTGGAACTTACACTTTTGCCAGCCGCCCCAGAGCCGTACACAGTCGGAGCAAGTACCGCGAATCCACGGCGGAGCAGTAAGTCTGCTGGCCGGTAACTCGCCCCGCCGCACCATCTGTGATAGCAAACCTTGCTGATTCGTTTAGTTTTTACATACACACGGCACATCATTTGGCTGTAGTATTATTATTATTATTATTATTATTGGATCTATAATAACAATATTGAACTATAGTTGGAGACGGATTATGAGCTCAGTGTGAAAATGGGACATTTTCTTAGAGCGTACCTATACTGTAATGTGAAGGTTTTCAGCGGGCTAATAACGCGGCGGATTTTGTTTTTTAATCACTGTTTTCATCCTGAGCTGTTTATAGCTGCCTGTCCGTTTCCATATAAGACCCTTACAGTGGGCGATTGAAAACATTATTTCAATCTAAACTTCCAGGTTAATGTATGTCCCTTTAGGGTTGTGTGTGGGGAAAGAGCAATGATTTACACTCTTATTCTAACGCAGAAACGATGGGCCGGCCAGTTACGGGAACATCATGTACGACAGGCGGGTCATCCGAGGGAATACATACGCCCTGCACACTCTGCCGACGGTGAGCGCCTCGCATCGGGCTGCAGGGCTGCCAGCTCTAAGGCATCTGGCGTGAAACTCACGCTGAACGAAGCCGGCAGCCCTGAGGCTCGTTTCTTATTACTGTCTGGCGTGAGCGCAGGTGAAACACGTTTGTTTGTGTCAGGCAGCCCAGCTGGACCCTGCGGAGCTGCAGAGGCAACCGGAGTCCCGCAGGAGAGCCGCCGCCCGCAAACGGCCTAAAGATCAGCAGCGGGTCGCGACCCCGGAGCCGGTGGAAGGCAGGAAGCACACGGACGTTCAGACCGGTACGGTCACACGTCGTATTTAAATTCACCCAGCAAACGGTAGATTATGGCAGAAGTCGGGCGTCATCGTCCACTAAGGCCGGTCAGTGTCCAGTGTCAGTATCTGCTAAATAAATAAATGTAACGTGATGAATCTAATTAATCATGCAGCATGTGCGTATTTTATTTTTGTGACGTGTATTACGTTTCTGACGTGGATTAGTTAAAAAAATCTTTCATTATTTTAGTCTATAATCTTTGAAGATATATTTATCTCAGATTTTAACTTAACTCGGGTTTTTACTCTTTAACATAATTTTCACGTTTTTAAATACACATTAAAACATTGTGCATTTATTGTGTAGATTATTGGTGTAATAAAAGCAACATTTTATTATTCTTCAGACCTGTACCTCGAGGAACTGAGTGATCGGATCGAGGAATCCAATGCAGGATGCCAGACCGATGCCTTTCTGGATAGGCCAGCAACTCCACTCTTTATTCCAGCGAAGACTGGCAAAGATGTGGCCACACAGATCGAGGACGGAGAGGTATCTTTTATAACAATGACGGGCATACTAGGGTCATCTGAAAGGTAGGACGGACATCAGATACTATGTATGAAATTAGAGTATGGCTGTTTACTGTCCAGGGAACAGATATTCCTGCTAGGATTTAATTACGCAGATTTCCCAAAAATCCTCACAGTTGAAGAGATTTACCTTTGGGCACGTCACGCCCTCCTGTAATAATCATGCATATTGTCCATCTCTGGAGCTGTTCGACTTTGACCTGGAGGTGCGCCCCCTGCTGGAGGTGCTGGTGGGGAAGACCATGGAGCAGGCCCTGCTGGAGGTGATGGAGGAGGAAGAGCTGGCCAGCCTGCAGGCGCAGCAGCGTGCCTTTGAGGCCCAGCGGGACGCCGAGCTGGTGGAGGTGCAGAGGCTGGAGGAGAGGGAGCGACGGCGTCATGAGGAGAAGGTGGGCCTGGGCTTCCCGAACAGCGGGGCCCTTTAGCCAAGGCTGAGTCAGGAGAAGGTTCTAAGGACACCTTCCACACGTCTGCTGGGGTGAAGCGCTGATGTGAGGGCTCTCGATACAGGAGCGAAGGATCCGGGAGCAAAGGGAGGTCTTACAGAAGGAGAAGGAGCTGGCGGAGAAGGTGGCCGCTCGCGCCTTTGCTCAGCAGCACCTGACAGAGCTGCTGCCGTCCGTCTACACCGTGCTGCAACAGCATGGCTTCTTCTACGACCCCACTCAGAGAGGTTAGCTGCCACGGAGTCGCCCCGCATCACTTCTGTTGAGCAGAGTACTTTGTAGAATAGAATACAATACAATAGCGATACTTTATTAATCACTGTGGGCAAATTCCCTTTTCACTTTGCCCCATCTTGCTTACCGTATAGGTGAGAGCAGGCTCAGGGGTCACAAGTGAAGGGGCAGCCACCTTGCAACACCCAGGGAGCTGGGGGTTAAGGGCCTTGGTCAAGGGCCCAAGGTCATGTGACTATTCTGCCGAGGCTGGACTTTGTGGGTGGTTGTGTCTCTATGTCAGGAGCGGGATCATTGTTTTGGGGGATCATTGTTTCCCACTCAAATATTCACTTTGGGGACGAGTCAGAAGATTGGTGATAGTTAGCTCTCTAGCAGAACCTGCTAGGTTCTAAATAAGGAATGTGTCTGTTTATTGTTTGTGTAGTTACTGCTTGTGACCAAGAGGGGGCGCATGAGTGATGGTAGAGCACTAATGTACTCCAATCTGCTGTGCAGACGTGGAAACTGGGTTCCTGCCATGGCTGATGGAAGAAGTGAGCAGCACATTGGAAAGACGATGTGCAGCCAGGACTGTTTTGGACAGTAAGTCACCGCCTCAAGCCAAGAGCAAAGCTTTCCTACAGCAACCGGTTTCTGAAGAACTTAGGTAGATGCTTTATTAATCCTATAGACAATTGCAGGTTTACAATAACACAACACATGATTAGGCAAAACCAATAAACAATGAGCAATTAACAGCAACAGTGCAAAGAATGTCAGAGAAAGTATGGCACAGAATTCTGTACCAGCACAGAAATGTATAGCATTGCAGAGAGGTTCATACAGTGAGTGAATGAGTGTCCTGTAATAGTTTGCTAAGATTCCTTCAGCGGTGACCTGTTTATCCCTTTAAACCTGTATAACATGGTTAGAAGAGGCAGATGACGCTGAGAGCCGGCTGTCAAAGTGACCGTGTAGAGGTGCAGTAATGGAAACTGTCTGTGGCCATCAAATTTAATGAAAACCAGTCTGACTGTACTGTTCCTAACATGAATGATTCAGTAAAATGCTTTCGTTATGGTCCAGCTCAAATTCCCCATCTAGTGGCAAATAAAAAAATAAAAAATATTAAGTTTTGCATCTTCACGTTTTTATGACCAGTTTTAACAGACAAGCTGCATAAAATATCACAAAATATTAATACTATGATGATTTAGTCGTATGTTAGTACCCAAAACTATATTTATGTTTCTGTATAGCATTTCATATACACCTTTGATTTGTGCCCAAGTACGCTGTGGACAGTTGAAGAATTATTTACTTACTTACTGAATGCACGTTATAGTAGCCCAAGGAAGTGTCCAGAGTGGGATTTTTAAAAATTCTCATGTCTGTTTCAGTGCTCATCAAAGATGTGACAACGCAGAGGGTAGAGGCCTTCCACCAGGGGGCGTATTTGTCACCTGATTCGAAGTGAGCGATTACGAAAGTAAGTAGTCAAGGCCTGCTTTGTGTTTCTCCTGGAGAGCTCTTAAGCTTCATCCTGCCAGCCCCAGCCCACACCTATGAGGGCAAGCCTTTTACCTAAAGATAAACTACATTATGTCGGTATAATTTCAGTGGTTCTGCTGTAATTTGCATTTACAAAAGTTGTGTTCCTTTTAAGTGATTGACTGCACTGATCAGACGGAGCTCTCCACACATAAACGTACACAGGTGTGCAAAATGTAGGTCAGTGGGTGGATTTTAGTGCCTCAGACACCGAAGAGAAATTCCACATCTTAATTTCCATTTTAGGGCAGCACTGTAGCAGCCCACATTATTGGTTGAGGGTTCGAGTCCTGCTCCAAGTGTGGAGTTTGTCTGTGCCTGGTGTATCCGTGGGCTTCCTCCTTTCATTTCAGTCACCACTGTGTGAGGGACCGTCATGTGCATTTTTATGGATCGTCATGTGACACTATTGCGATACCATCACATATTTACTAGTTATATACCTGTAAGTGAAGGTGTGAACTGCTACTGACAAATATCTGCTACTAACCATCACTCTGTTCTTTTGCAGGACAAATTCTGTAGACGGTGATTTTACAGCAGACTTTATGGAAGTGTCTTCGTAAAATAAAGGAAATCACACCGATTTTAATTGTGTACTTAAGTTTTATGTCTATATTTAGACACCTTAACAGGCCACTTTTAATTTTTGTACAGTATGTTTGTTTCCAAATACTTCTCAGGCTCCTGTGTGACTCTCCAGTTATCAGAGGTGTTTCTGCTGGGGGGGTCACCTCCCCTCACACGTTGCCAGCTCCTTTCACACGGCGCATGACCTCTTTGTGATCTTCTGGAATGATCTACATTCTTCTGGAATCTTCTGTTCCCCACAACGTCCACTGTACTTATTAACCATGGGGCTAAAGGAGGCTGACGTTACTGCAGCCTGTATGGATTCACTCAGATTCACTGAGCACTGCCATCCCATCATATTTCAAATGATTCAGAATAGCCCACTGTACTAACAAGGTGTGAAGCCCTTGTGCTATAATATTGTAGTTATTGCCCTACCAATTGCACATAATCTCCACACAACACAAAAGTTTATTCAGACATCTCCCCTTTGAAACTGATTAAATTGTATGACATATAACTGTAATTACTAAATTTCCATGGAGTGACTTTTGGAACAAACACAGCATTTAGGAAACAGCAGTGTGGGAAACTTAAGGTTACTGCGTATCAGCTGTTTACTTAGTCTTCTTAGAGGTCTGTAATGAAGTTAGTCAGATCGAGGTTAAATACAGCCAAGCTGCAGTCTGCGATGTGCGGATGGAGCTGAGAAAACATACTGAGGTGACAATGCAGCTGATCTGCGTCTCAGGGTATAAACAGGCACGATGACCAGCCCTGGAAGTTGTTAATGGTTAATTTAAGGAAAAGAAAGGAAGCCGATGTGTCAGCGTATACACTGATAGAAGATTAAGAAAAAGGCCTCTTGAAAAAAGGTTCCATTCATTACCACGAATAAGTAAGTAAATAAGAGCTGGACGAAGTTAGACTTGGGAGTGGCGCGTGTTTGCGGTGGCTGAGATTACGCAGGGTACGGACTATTCCTTAGCTGTTCTTATCGTTAGTTAAGAAAGTTTAACATTAAAAATGCTTCCTAAATCCAAAAATGGGCGGTGTCATTTTTATTAGGGCGCCATTAACATATGGAAGTCCGTTTCCGCCATACTAAAAAACATTGCTGGATATTAAGTCGTAATTATGAGATACTGTGTCGATATTATGGGATACTGAGTCATAATAATGATAATAAGTAATAACTATGAGATTTAAAGTCTAAATTATGAGATAAGATGGTTCAATCACATTCCTACATGCACTGTTTTCGCAGTGCGGGAAAGTTTCAGGTTCGATATTCAGTTTTAATATCTTTTAACAAAAGCAAGCCAAGCTGTTTTAAAATGCAAACTTTTACAAGCTGCGGCGCATTCCGATCATTCCTGCGCTTTTAGCCTTCTCGTTATTCCTGCTTAATATTAATTGTTAGTAGCTATGAAAATATACGCTATATATAATAATAGCGTCAGTAGGTGAAATGGTGCCTAGTATTGCGTAAAGTGACCTGTTTTCGTCACCCTAAAAATGACTGTTTACTAGGGCACTTGGCTTGCGCATGACTGCGCCCGCGACACACTTGTAACCTGTCCCTCACAGGTGGCTGCTGGCTTTACAGTGGTTACGCTATATATATATGGCTCTATTTTTAATCGCGCTTCGCCATTGGTCGGTTTCCGTGTATAGCGCCTTCCCACCCAATTTACTGTTCCGCTGAGGCTGAGGCATGGGCGTGTGTGCGGCCACCCGCCGTCAGCCCTGCTTCGAAGCAGAAATAGCAAATCAGCCTGACGGTAAATGCGCTCCGGCATCATTGTTTCCTAACCGCGTCCTCCATAGATGAACTGTAGCGCTTTGTGGAAACCCAAGGAACTCTAGCCTGCATGTATCGCAAAAAAAAATTAAATCGTAAAATACATTTTAATCTGCTTCCAGCTGTGTGGGAGATCTCTTGTCTTTTAAGTGGCCCTCACATAGCAATAACTCTAAGCGTGTATTATATGGTTCCTAAGGCTGACATTTAGGCTACATGTACTTGTTTTGGAATGTCTTCATTCAAAGTGATGCTCAATTCAGTGCATAAACCAGCCGGGTGTTACACTGTCATGGGTCTGAAATGGCATAGGCCTACTTGTATGGGTATCTTCGGCCTGTGGGTATCAGAGAAAAACCATTCCACAATGGCCACTTTATTATGTACATGAGGTCCTTAAACAAACAGCCTCCTAACAGGGAATAAAGTCCTTGAAACTGAACATAAACACCACAGATTTTGACTGTAGGCTGACCAGATAATCCATGTCAGGGGGGACACTTTAAGCTACTCCAGGTTTTACAAACTACTTTAAAACTGAAAGGCACCTGTGTTTAGCTAAATAGCTCACATCTTCTTGTGCTTTAACTGGTTTGATTGAAAAACTCATCTAGTTGTTATGCATTAACATTAGTGGCATATGCATGATTATTGGAGACTGACCAATCAGCACACAGCAAGAACTCGGTGCTTAACTGAGATCCAGGTCCTTTTAATTGAAATGGTATTTTACAAATCCTGTCCTAGCTCAGTGTGTCCTCCCTGACATGGATTATCTGGTCACCCTGTTTGACTGTCATGTGATTGTTGGAACAAGAAGTGCAGGTTACAGTATCTCAGAAACAACCTGGGATTTTCACACACTATGGCGTCTAGAGTTTAGGGACGATCCTTGGATTAAATAAACATTCAGGGCATTTCTGTGGTTGAAAGTACCTCATAATGACAGTGGTCAGAAGTGAATCACCAGACCTGTGAAAATTAACAGAAAGACGACAAGTGATAACAGCTCAACACAACAGTGGTGTTCAGAAAGGCTTCTCTGAACAAATAGCTCATCAACGCTTAAGTGGTTCTGCGGAAAAAAAGTACTGTCCTACCCGGCACCGTGTAGGGGTACCTAATAAAGCGGGTCCTACCCAGCACCACGTAGGGATACCTAATAATGCGGGTTGTACCCGGCACCACGTAGGGGTACCTAATAAAGCAGGTCCTACCCAGCACCACGTAGGGATACCTAATAATGCGGGTTGTACCCGGCACCACGTAGGGGTACCTAATAAAGCGGATCCTACCCAGCACCACGTAGGGATACCTAATAATGCGGGTTGTACCCGGCACCACGTAGGGGTACCTAATAAAGCGGATCCTACCCGGCTCTGCATAGGGGTACCTAATAGTGTGGGTCCTACCCGGCACCACGTAGGGATACCTAATAATGCGGGTTGTACCCGGCACCACGTAGGGATACCTAATAAAGCGGATCCTACCCGGCTCTGCATAGGGGTACTTAATAGTGTGGGTCCTACCCGGCACTGCGTAGGGATGCCTAATAATGCGGGTCTTACCTGGTATCTCATAACGGTATCTAATGAAGTAACCACTGAGTGATTATCTGATAAGGTGTCCAGAGCATGAATGTGTGGCAATCCTTGTCAACGCAAGTAAAAAAAAAAATCACTAAGTTCCAGTTTTTGTCCATTTCATTTATTTTTTACCTAATCACAGAGGCCAATGGTTAAGAAGTGAACCAGTGAAGGTTGCAAACAGCTGTTGGTTCACCTCTAAAGTACTTGATTAACGCTAACCCTAACCTTACCTCCAATAATGACCCAAGGTGTAAATGCCTTGGATGAGTTTGGTGGTTACGCACTGTTAAGAATAATCTGGACACGGGGAAGCTTTTGTTTGTAATTAACCTTTGAGAAAATACCACAAAGACAGATAATGGATCTTATTATTTTCATGGTTTTGGGGAAGGAATTACTAGAAAAGCAGAAGATTAGCTCATTGTTCCAGAGGGAGTGGCAGGGTGCAGAATTGAAAGCTCAGGACATGTGACTTCAGCCACGTCAGAACCCACACCGCTCTCACTTTAATTAATGCACATTGCTCTGAAATGAGTTACCATTTTCACAGTGGCCTTGTGAACCATATTGACAATCAGAATCAGAATCCTTTTATTCTTCTCTTTTCTGCCATTCCCTTTCCCCCTTTTCCCTGTTTTACACATTCATGTTTTGCATAAATGATGTGGTAATGGATTATCACACACTTGTCAAATGCCTTGGCATGACTGTGTAGTGAAAGGCGCTATAGAAACATCAATCTTTTTTTTATTTCGTGAATTATAAAAAGTGCAAGTGGTCGCATGGAGTATACAATAAAACACACTGCCAAGAGAAAAAAAAACAGAAATTAAAAATAGCATAAAATTACAGTTAGAAATAGAAATATATACAATTAATAAATAAATATATGTATAAATAAAGGTCAGGTAACCAGATTTTGGTGCAATAAAGCTTATAAAGTCAATAAAAGTAGTTAACCTGCTAGCAGGCTTCAAACCGTAGACGCCAACCGCTGCCACCTGTCCAGGTGTTTGAGCCTGATCTCAGCTTGGGGAGACTCTCTCTGGTCATCACCTTTTTTTTTTTTTTTTACTCTCAGCATCAGCCAATCATAAGAGTCATTCAAACATAAATTGAAAGCTTTAAGTCTTCGGTAAACATGGACATCCTGGTCAACCTCATCACTTAATTCAACAAAAGGTGATCAACAGTCAAACATCCTCTGGTGCATTGTTACAACCAGCATCAATGCTGGGCTGTTTGATACAATGTACAGGGTGGGTTGTTATGCATTTTTTCCTACCTTTCAAGTCAGAGACACCAATTTAGGATAGACATGTGAAATGGAAAATGTGATACGCTGAAGAAGGATGATGATGATGATGTGAATAAATACTCTCATGAACAAGTAAATCAATTTGATGGTATAGCCATAATGCAACACGGAGCAGAGTAATTAGGCCCGCACATATAATATGGAAAAGATGTAAAACTTAAACTTTTTTTAACACATACCAAACATTCTAGCACTCCCAAACAGCTAAAATAAATGTGTATCTTTTGGTTTTTACAGAATCTTTAGAGGAAAAACAGAAAGTACCCTTTTTTTAGAAAAAAATCTAAATATCCCCTCCCAAAAATAAAACAAACAAGCAACAGAACACAACAGCCAGACTTAGGAGCTATCCAAAAGTAATTAAAATTTATGAAAAAAAGAAAAAAGAGGTGAAATGTTTTGTTATATGGGTTACAAACACTAAATCTATGAGTACCTTTCAGTGTTGTATCTTAAACTTCTTAGATAAGAATGGAGATTACGTATCAAGGAGGTCTCTGGCAGCATTTAAAGTGACGGAGCTTGGGACACGTGCAGGGGTATAGCTAGAAAATCGGGGGGCCTGGACACACCGTGTCGTCTAATTGAGGCGGATATGCAAATGTGAATGTTTACATTGTTCAGTGCAGACACAGAATTTGGGGCCGTCATCAAAACTGGCGCTTCTACCAAAGTAACACGTAGAATTCTTACGCTCAGCTGTACTGAATAAGTCAAGTCTTAGAAAAATAAACACTTAAAATAATCACTTTGCATTCTATTAGAAGTAGCCTACATTGTGTATCATCGACGCAGTCTATCCGCGACAGCTTCACACCTTTCCCTGCGCCCTGCTGGGAGTCGCTGTGACCGGTGTCGCCTTCTGCTGGCCGGCCGCGGTGCCTGGAGCCCGGCACGCCGCCCCACAAGCCGTCGGCCATATTGCCGTGCCTCGGTCACCGGCTGGGCGTGGGGGGGAGGGGAACCTGTTCCAGGCACACCTGCTGTTTTTGTGGCGGTGAGAAAAGCTCCGCATCAGGGGTCCCAGGGCCGAGAGCCGGGGCGTTGCGGTGGGCTGCCCGTGAAATGTATCAGTAATTGATCAACAGGTGCCTGGGGATTAATGCGGGACGCGGCCGGGTGCCTTTCAGGGCCGATTAGGGGAATTTGACGGGGGCTTTTTACACAGCAGCCGCTTTCGGTTTTTACTAACAAAGAGCCTTTTTCTTTCTTTAAACTTTGTGCCTTTAGCGACGGTTCACGCAGATCTGACCGGTGCCGTTTGCCTGTTGACCGCGGAGCTTCAGCAAGAGATTAATCCTGTAAAAAAATAGAGTTTTAAAAGGTTTTTGCGTTTTCGGGGATCCGCCACGATCACAAGGGCCTCCCCCAGCTCGCCCAAACTGAATTACCGCAGGGAATTCTTTTTTAGAAATTTACATAGCAGGAAAGTTTTATTTCTTTTTTTCTAGCTTAGTTTAGTTTGCTGGGACGCCTCCTCCTTTGTGTCCCTTATAGCTCTAAGTCGGGACCTTTCTAAAATACTCCGGCGATGGACTAGGCGCCCAGCCCACTTCGATTGAACTTAACGTAGTAATAATTTTAATTCTAATTATAATGATGATTAAGGGGGAGGGAGGCTGGCGGGCGTGATTCACGGGAGGGAGCGCCGGGCTGATTCATTCACTCCCCATCCCGTCTTTAAAGGGGACGTCCTTCGGCTGCACTCTTTCAAACCTGTTTCTCTTCTTTCATTTCAGAGGAAGAACCTCGGCTGTGCCTCCGTCTGTCTCAAGGAGCCCGACTTTCCGCGTCTTCGCCGAGAACAGCGAGCGAAAATGCCAAAGCCGGTAAATATGCTTTAATGTCGTTTCATTTCCGTGACATTTCCCCCCTCGTATCTGCTTTGACGTCTGGGCAGCTCATACTCTGCAATGAAACATCCCGTAAGATGGGTTAGTAACCCACTATGTATATCTGGGTTAGGGGTTGATTTAAACGATACTTTTTATTTTCCCGCTAGGATTGATTGAGAAATATCCTGCTTTTAGTCTTAACTGGTTGTTATGGATTAGTTTGCTGTGTAAAGTTTAACAGGCTTAACAGGCATTGCGGTGAAGACGCGTCCGACCTCTGGGCTGATTGCTCAACTTTGTAAAGCCCGTATTTCTCATTTTGAATGTCATTTATATGTGGAAATTGGCTGCTTTCTCTCTCTCTGAAAGTCGTTTTTATGCTAGTCCAGCGCCTTCATTATAAACTATAGATAATTATGTAATCATTTAGTAATAAGTCCCCACTTATGCCTCTGAAATGTCACCATAAAAAATGTAAGGCAATGGTTTCATAGTCTGTGATGGAGTTTCACTTCTCCTGTGGGCAAAATGGAAAATATTTTAATGGCGACGTATATGTTGGTCAGAGTACTTGCTGGCAGTTACCTTAAAGGCAGTTAATAGGAAAGTAGGACAGAGAGGGTGATTTTTCCCGATCAGGAAGTTCAGCAGGACGTCACAGACAACCTCCCAGCACTGATCAGGCCAGACGGCAGAGCAGGGGCTGTCTTTGGCTGCCATACTGACCTGCATCTAGTCCCAAGGTGTGTCACGTTGACGTGGGTTCAATTTAGCCACCCTATGTACACCTTTTGCCTTTCTTTGTGTCATCCTGACGTCATAGCACTCCCACTATCAAACTGTCATCATTTACATTTATGTTTTGAAATGAAGTTATTTGCACAATCAATATTTTACTGTATTGCTGATGGAGACCTGCTCTCTGCTGTTAAGGGGGTATGTCAGTCGTCCGGGTGTTCAGTGATGATTGGGATTCGTTTCATCCTTGTGTATTAGTTTAGTTTCGTCACGGTTGTAATTGAAATCGAGTCGATTTGGGACCATAATTTAATGTGCGTCATTAAACGTGTGATGCTGCAGTGTGGCGACCCGTTAAGCTGCTGTTTAGGGATAGTTGTTCTGTCGTAACGCAGTGTCATATAAACTTATGGCCTCTTACCTTTTAAAAACGTGCATTCTTTCAAAACTGGAAATTGTGTACTGCAGTTTTTCTAGTCAGTTTCAGTAAAACCTAAAACGCCACGCAGGTAGCTTTAGCGAGGATGCGTGATCTCTGTGCTGGGAACACTGAGCTACGGACATTGCTGTTTTCTGTTGATATGTGCCAGTTTTTCGGCTGGCTGGCTCTCGCCTTTTGAACCCCGGCTTTGAAATGTGCTGCTGGTTTGTTTAGAAGCACGTTCCGGCTGTTGTGAGTGTTGCCTTGGAAATGAGGTCATCAGTGTGACAGTGTGTGTCTTCCCCTGGATGCACTGCAATAAATGCAAAATGGCCGGTGCTTTAAATAGGACCTGCTTTCTCTGTCCTGTTGCACACAATCAAACACTCTTCTGGTTAAACACCAGTGCTGATTTTTCTCTCTAAATATACTTGGAAATGAAAGGTATTTTCTTTGAAAGTTCAGATTACATTTACGCAGGAAGGCCTTACTTGGGTGAATGCATTCCTGAAAGTCCACACTAATTTTAAATTCATTATAGGAAAGTGCTTGCACATCATTTTTTTGGAATGTAATACAGTGCTTAATTTATTTATAAGTGTGCCATTGGCGGGAGGGCTGCAGTGAGCTATAAAGATGGCCATCGCCCATGCCGGCCATGTCCCATTCCTACTAGAAGTACATGAAGTCTCTCTGAAACTGGCACACTGAGTCACGCTGCAGAAATGCCTGTGACGGATGAGAGGTGTGGCATTTATCGACTCGCATGGGTGTTTCTTTTTGCGTCCGCGGCCATTGTGGTCACCATTTGTTCACCTGAATAATTGATCAGTGTATAATGGTGATACGCCTGCAGAGAATGTTATTCAAAGGACGTAACCGTCCGCAGTGTCGGATGTACGGATTCTGGTGCCTGTCCATGTCGACGGGGTTTGTTTGTTTAAACCAGATGCTAATCCAATCCCCAGCTCTCGATTTTGAGTAATCGTTGCCATAGAAATGGGTACACGTTCATTAAAATGTCCTGTGGTTTTTTTTCCCCTTTTCCTTTCCCACTGTGCAAGGAAAAAAAAAAAGTTTCAGTTGACAGCATTTGAATTGAATTGTCAGCTATTTTTAGCAGTAAAAACGTTCCTCCGGCCTGGTGCTGGTCCTATGAATCCTTTGACGGTTATATAGCCCTTTAGTGACGGGCTTTGAGGCTATGGAGTGAGGTGACCTTCAGTCGGGCCCCAGCGCTTCGGGATCTACTCATTAACCACTTTTTCTCTGTGTGGCTTAAACGCAGTTTAAATATTATTCACCTTCGGGTCCGGATGAGGGATCCGCTTCATCGGCCAGTCCCGACAGGGACCGTGTGATCTTTGTGTCCTGCTTTGTGATCCCTTCCACCCCCCTGTTGACACCTGTCTGGCATGAAAATGCCCAGCCTTGTTTGTTCCTCGCTTTGAAGTTACCCCCCCTCCTCCTCCTGGTTTCACTCTTTCACTGATTCCCCCCACCCCCGATTATCGGACCGTGCAGTCGGTTCCCGGCGATGGGATCCAATATCGCAACATGACATCATAGAAACATCCAGCAAACCCCCCCCCCCCCCCCGTTGTCTGCTAACCTGCCCACCGTCGCGTCAGCCGGAAGCTCGGCCTCGTGGCCCTCGGCGCCTCTCGCCGGGAGGACATCTGTCAGCAGCCTGCGAAAGGCAGATTCTGTTTCACAACAAAGATGGCCCTCCGTATAAACAAAAGGCATCCAGCAGCTGCCAACAAACGGCGTTCAGGAAATAGCCGGCGCTGGCGCAGGCTGGGCGGCACAGGGGCGGTGCCCCGCGTGTCTGTGTGCACTCGGCGTGGCACCGTTCATCCGGAGATGACCGGCATGGTGTTTGCGGGGCGTCTTTCCAGTGTAACGTAAATGAGGGTGATGTAGTGTTTCCCAGCCCCTCTCTGCGCAGCCATCAGCCCCCGCTGCTGCTGGAGGAAGCCCGGCAGGGCAGCAGTGAAAGGCATTCTTTGTTTTGCCATGTTAATGGATCCCCCCCCCCCACCCCCCGCATGCCATTTCCCAGAAGTAGGATCCCCCCCTCTAGACACGCTAATGCTAACGATGGATCCAGGCTGCGTCCCTCCCCACCCCAAACTGCCCCCTTTTGTGGTTCTGGGCTCCCAGTGTAGCTGCCCTCCTTGTCCCCGTGTGTGTGTGTGTGTGTGTGTGTGTGTGTGTGTGTGTGTGTGTGTGTGTGATCAGTGATAGTTTGAGGTGCAGAGTCTTTCTGTCTGTTCCTGTTCGGCGTTTAGCCATGGCTGTGCCTCTTGGCGAAGCCCAAACGCCCCCTGACCTCGTTCAGCTACTCGGCGTGGGCAGCAGGGAGGAGGCGCAAGGCGGAGTGGCTCCATTAGCCAGCCCCGCAGGTGGGGGGTGCTTCGCTGAGATGGGAGATGGACTGTCGTAGCTCCTGCTCGCTGCCAGTGTTATACGCAAACGTCCCTCATGCTTTACACGGTGTGTGTGTGTGTGTGTGTGTGTGTGTGTGTGTGTGTGTGTGTGTGTGTGATGGCCTCTGCCTCTTGTCCAGAGTCAGAATTAAGTAAGACCTTTTTGTTATGGGCGGGGCCCTCACAGGTCACATGGTACAGCCGGGGGTGTTTATCTTTTTGTTATTAATCCCTCCCACGGGCCCCAATTGCTCCCCTCCTACTGCCACTGTTTGAGCCACATCGTCACTCTGTGTGAGACGCCCTGAGATTATGCTTTTTATTCAATGATATTACGTTTTTTTTTTTTTCACCCCAGCATACCGCGAAATACAGTCCCGTTCTTAACCTGCGAGTTCTCCGACGCTGCTTTCACTTTAAGTTGTGTAAGATACGCCAATGTGGAGCTCATTTGTGGTGGATTTAGGGGCTCTTCTGGTGACTGATGTTGGCGTTTGTTCAAAACCTGACTCCAAAGCACCTCAGACAGACAAGAGTCTGGTTCTACTCTAACTGAAGGGCAGTGAGGGATGCCTTTCTTTCACAGCCTTGCTGTGCTGCTGTTGGTTTGTAGAACATTCCTTATGGCGCGGAGAGCCTGTGTTGGAGTGCGTTAGTGCTGGGTTGATTGCGATGCTCCATCCGTCCATCTCCTGGTTGCAGTGCTGCAGCAATACCACTTCGCCCCTCCCAGTACCTTCTGCGGCCCCCGCTCACGGCCTCTCTATCCCCACAGGTCAATGTCCGCGTCACCACCATGGACGCTGAGCTGGAGTTTGCCATCCAGCCCAGCACCACGGGGAAGCAGCTCTTCGACCAGGTCTGTGCTACCTTCACCCGCTCTTCCTCCCCGCCTCGTGATCTGCTGTTCATCCACCTCTCTTCTCTGGACGCACGTTACCTACCTATTTCCTGCATACACGCTTCCCAGTGCCGGTTGCTGTCCGACTCGCCCGTGCTAAGAGCATTACGCAGCAGTCACGGCGCAGATAATCAGCTGATTTGTGTGGCGTTTTGCTTCTGAAGATCTATATTGTCCTAGAACCTTTTTGCCCATAAATAAATATTATCCTGGATATGGAATCAGCCTGGACTGGCAGAGGATTCAATTAAAGAGCAATTTACCATTTAAATCTGGAAATGGAAAAGTAGTTGTCCAGTCTATTCAAGCTGGCCTGCCACCAAAATCTGGACTGTCTCCAGCTGTACATGTAGATGTGCAGAATCGGAACCCAGCCTGTTCCTCTCTGTTCGGGCCAAAGACTTTGGCGGAGCCCCTGCACTGCCCTACTGGGATCGAATGATCAGAGAGAGTGAAGCTGGGAATTCGGACGGGGCTCCATGCAAACGGTCGTTAAGGAACAGGCCTGCGCTCCCCCCGTCTCAGCTAGGCCTTGAAAACGGGAAGCCTCCACAGTTTACAGCACAACAGAGGCCCTGGGCAATGATAAGGGCTTATCTGCACACAAACGGGCGAGGCTGGGCATTAGAGGGGTGACAGGCGGGCGGGAGGCCAGGAAGCTGAATCGTCAGGAACCCTGCAGCCAGAGGGACCCTGCAGCCAGAGGGACGCTGCACGGCCAGCTTGGGCCCTGGGCTGACGGCTGGGCGCGGTGCATCAGGAAGTTCAGAACCTTCCTCTCGCTGACGCGTCCCCTGAAATGAAGCTTCCGATACTGCTGGGCATTCCACATGTGAAAAAATGCGCTTCTGTCACCACGGAAGCCCACGGGGCGTACTCAGGCGGAACCGGTACCTACCTGACGGGTTTGTCAGAAGAATGTCAGATTTTTAGCTCTGATGTGAGTCTTGGGATGCTTTTGAGGCTGTGTGGGCCCTACTCGGGGGGTGTAGGGTGACGCTCCGTACTCGGTACCCCAGAATTAATCAAGTGGAACCAGCGTGCCGAGTATGGCCAGGTACCGAATCTCGTCTCGGTCGTGACGTACTTTTATATATTTAATAAGATTTTATCAGAGAAACAGGTTTAATTTCCACTGTCTGAGGTCAAATTTGATGTTGCTATGAGCTGCAGCAGTCAGATGACTTAAGAAGCATGGAAAGGCCGCAAGGTGATGTAATGAGGGCGTTCGCGTGGCCCTTATGGCCGCCGTCCTCCCCGCCTGAGTGCTGGCCCCGCCCTTCTGCCCAGCTGGAAATGCTGAGTGTTCAGTCCTCCAGCCCCGAGCCCCTCCCTGACCTCCGCGTACGGGCCCGTGTGAAAAACGGCGTGGTTTGTGTCCGGCGCCGTCACGGCTGGTGTTTCCGCCTGGGATCCCTTTTGACGGCCCTCCTGTGTACCCTAACCCCCCCCCCCCCCCCCCCCCCCCCCCC